CCGGAGGAGAGGTAGCCGGGCTCTGCTTCCAGCCGGACACCATGTTCTAGTTTGACTGAAAGACTTTTATGCAAACTCCTTTGATCATTTAGAAACACCAGTCTAAAGGTTTTAAATAAAAACAGGAATAAAGGCTTTCGCTGCTTGCAAAGCATGGCTTATATTTGCATTTGGTCAGGATGAGAGACGGAGGCAGGCCCAAGGTCCCACTCAGTGAGGTCCAGGTGGCTTTCTCTGTACTCTTAACGCCCCCCCCCCCGCCATTAGCTCCACCGCACTTTGGGAGAGGGAGAAATATGGGGACCACGTGGGGCACGTGGGTCTGGGTGCAAAAGGAGACAAGGGGCATTGGCACTGGTGGAAGGGTGTGGACTCCAGGCTAAAGTCGCCGTCGTCCCCCCCCCCACCTGCAAGGACCCTGAACAGCTGCCCTGGCACCCCACGGCTCTCTTGGCCACCAGCCACTTTCCAGATGTCCTCTTCCCCCCACCCCCCCCCCCCCCCCCCCCCCCCCGTTTGTCTAGGGAAGCTCTTTCTCCACTCCCGGAGCTTCCTGAGTTATTCAGCACTTTCCCAACCGGTCCGATGTCAGGGTTCTGGGCGAGGTGGGCCACAAGATAGCAAGCCCGGGCAGCCTGTAACACCCACCCCACCGACAATCAAAGATTATTTAGTATTTATTTAAAACATTTCACCTCACCTTTCTCCTTAGAAAGGACCCATGGTGGCTGGCACACATTCCTCTGTAAGCAGAAGCACAGAGAACCCTCCCCATCATCCTTTCTTTTGACTCTGTGCTAGACTGACGCTTCCAGGAAGCTCGAGACATGGCAAGGGCCTCTGGCCCAGGTTTCTGAGGCAAGTGCTTGGCCACAGGGCGGCCCACCGGAGGCATAAACTGCTCTCTCTCCCCCCCCCCCACCAATCTGGCAGGAGAGAAAAGGTTCTTCAGAGATCTTTGGAGAGGGAAGGGAGCGCTGCTGATCAGTTCAGCCATCCTCGGTGGTCGCAAGTCAGCTGTCTCTCTCCCAATGGGTACGAGGTATCCATTTTCCTCCCCAAGCTGGATGCGGAAAAGCCCGGGAGGAATGCAGGGTGCCTAACGGTCACATGGACTGTAGGCAGCTTGTGCCTGATGTATTTTTTTAAAATGCCATGACCTACATACCCTCTTCTCTAATTGAATTAACAGAAATTGCTCTTTTGTGAATGAAAAACCAGAGGAACTCTGGATGAAGTTTACTTTTGTACATGTTCGTGTATGTCTCCATTCATTCTTTATTTAAGGTATCATTGACTTTGCAGGCAATGTTTTCAGACTAACGTGAACAATAAACACCAGCATGCATAGAAAAGACACCACAACCCCCCAATAATGGAACATCAGAAATATTTCACCAGTTTATACTTTGAGCAAAGCGAATCCGTAATATAATGAGAAGAGGTTTTATTGTATACCGCCCAATATGGATTGTTTGTGGTTATCCAATCGTTGCCATAATTTGGCGCACAACATACTCAAATGACAGTACGATAGATAGATAGATAGATAGATAGAGAGATAGATAGATAGATAGATAGATAGATAGAGAGAGAGAGAGAGAGAGAGATAGAAGTATGAGGAACAGAAATCCTAGACACGGAGAAGGGG